CAGACATCACAGAGTCACAACAGCAGACATCACAGAGTCACAACAGCAGACAACACAGAGTCACAACAGCAGACATCACAGAGTCACAACAGCAGACAACACAGAGTCACAACAGCAGACAACACAGAGTCACAACAGCAGACAACACAGAGTCACAACAGCAGACAACACAGAGTCACAACAGCAGACAACACAGAGTCACAACAGCAGACATCACAGAGTCACAACAGCAGACATCACAGAGTCACAACAGCAGACATCACAGAGTCACAACAGCAGATATCACAGAGTCACAACAGCAGACATCACAGAGTCACAACAGCAGACATCACAGAGTCACAACAGCAGACATCACAGAGTCACAACAGCAGACAACACAGAGTCACAACAGCAGACAACACAGAGTCACAACAGCAGACAACACAGAGTCACAACAGCAGACATCACAGAGATCACAACAGCAGACAACACAGAGTCACAACAGCAGACATCACAGAGTCACAACAGCAGACATCACAGAGTCACAACAGCAGACATCACAGAGTCACAACAGCAGACAACACAGAGTCACAACAGCAGACATCACAGAGTCACAACAGCAGACAACACAGAGTCACAACAGCAGACAACACAGAGTCACAACAGAAGACATCACAGAGTCACAACAGCAGACAACACAGAGTCACAACAGCAGACAACACAGAGTCACAACAGCAGACAACACAGTCACAACAGCAGACATCACAGAGTCACAACAGCAGACAACACAGAGTCACAACAGCAGACAACACAGAGTCACAACAGCAGACAACACAGAGTCACAACAGCAGACAACACAGAGTCACAACAGCAGACAACACAGAGTCACAACAGCAGACATCACAGAGTCACAACAGCAGACAACACAGAGTCACAACAGCAGACAACACAGAGTCACAACAGCAGACAACACAGAGTCACAACAGCAGACATCACAGAGTCACAACAGCAGACATCACAGAGTCACAACAGCAGACAACACAGAGTCACAACAGCAGACATCACAGAGTCACAACAGCAGACAACACAGAGTCACAACAGCAGACAACACAGAGTCACAACAGCAGACATCACAGAGTCACAACAGCAGACATCACAGAGTCACAACAGCAGACATCACAGAGTCACAACAGCAGACAACACAGAGTCACAACAGCAGACATCAGAGTCACAACAGCAGACAACACAGAGTCACAACAGCAGACAACACAGAGTCACAACAGAAGACATCACAGAGTCACAACAGCAGACAACACAGAGTCACAACAGCAGACAACACAGAGTCACAACAGCAGACAACACAGTCACAACAGCAGACATCAGAGTCACAACAGCAGACATCACAGAGTCACAACAGCAGACAATACAGAGTCACAACAGCAGACAACACAGAGTCACAACAGCAGACAACACAGAGTCACAACAGCAGACATCACAGAGTCACAACAGCAGACAACACAGAGTCACAACAGCAGACAACACAGAGTCACAACAGCAGACAACACAGAGTCACAACAGCAGACAACACAGAGTCACAACAGCAGACAACACAGAGTCACAACAGCAGACATCACAGAGTCACAACAGCAGACAACACAGAGTCACAACAGCAGACAACACAGAGTCACAACAGCAGACAACACAGAGTCACAACAGCAGACATCACAGAGTCACAACAGCAGACATCACAGAGTCACAACAGCAGACAATACAGAGTCACAACAGCAGACAACACAGAGTCACAACAGCAGACAACACAGACTAATATAAACCTCAAAAGTGTGTGCAAAATATTGCGATACTGAACAGAATCGAATCGCACCATGAGTGTTGCTCATAATAATAATAATAATAATAATAATAATGCATTGGTTTTTACAGTGCTTTTCTGTACTCTCAAAGATGCTTCACGTCATTATTCTTTCACTCCGTCCACGTTGGTGATAAACTACTACTGTAGCCACATCTGCCCTGAGGCACACTGCCCCTCCTACCACCACCAACTATTCACACACACCAGACTCATTGGTTGAAGTGTCTTGCTGAAGGACACAACAGCAGTTTGGCACTTCACAGCCACAGCCGAATGAAGTGATCAGAGGAAAAACTGTTTGATTTTGGCTCAAAGTTTCTGTCTTCCTCAGTTTTCAACAACAACACTGGTTTCATTTGACCGTTAGTGCAGCCAACTACACAACTACACCAGACGGATACAACACTATGACGAGACCCACATTGAGGGAGGGATAAGCTCACATGGACAGACGGGCTGTAGATCCGGGACTCAGACTGTAGAACGAGGACGAAGGCCACGCGATACAGGACTGCTCATTTCACCAGATCATAATTATCACCTGAAATTCCTTCGGGGGGATTTGAATGAGGAATTTTACTTCCTGAACCAGGGAGCTCTGCCCACGTTGCAGCTTAATACTCAACAGCATCTTACAAAATGAAAGGAGACCAGAGTGACATTCCTGACAAAACCATCCCCAGAGAAGCAGGCAATAAACCCCCCCAACAAAAACATTTAACGGTAATTATCCATCCATCCATCCATTTTCTACCCTTTAATCCATTTCTGGGTCAGGGGGGTGGCAGTCAGAGATGCCACCCAAGTCTCATAGCACCAGCCCCTCACTGACCCTCTGCAGGTGGTGAGTCCACAGGAGGACGGCTGCTCTCTGAGTGTGAGCATAGCCTTGGTCTTTCAGTGGGGGCTTTGGGCAAAGTGGGGTTAAGTGTCTTGCCCAAGGACACAACGACAGCAGTCATCAGTGGGAGTCGGTGGAGAAGGTGCAGAGGTGGGAATTGAATGCTCTACCAACTGAGCTACTGTCGCCCCGGTAATTATAATAATGATAATAATTATTATAATAATGACTTTAACAAAGACTGCAAATAATAACGGATGTAGTCACGCCTGCCTCTGCCGTTCCAACTAATGTGCCAACACTTTTGCCGTCTGTGGGGCTTTTCAAAATGGCCGCGGGGGCTGAAAAAAACGCATCTGCGCATGCGTCAACTGCACGAGCCCCACACATTTAACGAGTGAATTCAAAAGTCCACAGCGACTAAACTAGAGTGGTCCAAACAAGTTCACCCCCCTCAGCATTGACACACATGTGGAACGGAGCTTTGGACCAAGAGCAACTTTTGGACCATCCTGTAAAGCCATTTTTGAGAGGTCTGCCTATGCTATATGTTAGCATTGGCTAATTCTTATTCCAGGTCCACCCCTACAGGCCCGGGGTGGTATTGCAGCATGTCAGTTCATGTCATTTTGGACATTTTTGAGCCGGGAACCGCCCAAGCCCCGGTGATGGCGCCCTATTCAAATGAATGGCTTGTGCTCAGTAGCGCATGGGACTTCACGGGGACCGGGAGCTTAGCAGAACTCGCCTATATTTGGGCATCGTCTGGTCCTCCCGGTTCTGCGCAGTGGACGAGCTCCCATGATGCTTTGCGCCAAATACGCATGTGTGGCTGTCATGCACGTGCACAGAGGGGCTCGGCCGCGCTTTGACCAATCAGAGCTGATCAGAGCAGCGGTAGAGCGGAGTCAGACTGGGAAGGAATGGAGCAGAGTTTGTGGCAGTAAAGTGTGGATTTAAAGAAAACCGAAGGATTTAAGAAGAAAAAAAGGGACACTAAAATTCCCACAAAATACGATCTTTCTGAAAGCTGTAGGTTCTCTGTCAGGTTCTCTGTCAGCTGAGGTCGAGCTGTTTTAATTTACATTGAGTTCTATGGGACTTTTTTCTGGGTAGCCTATGTGAATTTAGTCTGCAGTACCACAGCGCCCCCTGTGCCCGTGGGACAGCTGTAAGCTAGTAATACCCTATCCAGTTATTATTATAGATCCATGGAACCGCCCCCACTGGACATCAACCTGTGAACTGGTCGCTCAGGCCCGGACTCGTGGTTCTACAGAGTCCTTTATCTACAGAGAGCAGATCCCTCTCCCAATGTGGACCATCCTGAGGTTTCTTACTTTTTTCCCACTGGATTTCTTTTGAGTGGTTCCTCGCTGATGCAGGAGGATCCGGGACATTCAAAGACATTTATGGACATTTATTAACGTTTATGGACGATGGCTTCTATGTGTTTGTTATTATTGCATTTCCGGTGATCTCTTTGCAAAGCCCTACGAGACGACACGTAAATTGAATTGAAAATCAAATTGCCAAATATCAAATCAGCTGCATAGACAATAACAAAAACATAGTCTTTGTGTTATTGTATTACAAAATAAACAGTATGCAACTAAATCAGATGTGGTCCATTGGAGATCTGTATTTTGTGACTGTATTTGTAATGCTCCATGCGACACACACAGTATAGGCCCAGTGGTTATTCATAATTGTATTTCCAGTGCAGCCCATTATTCGTTGGCAGAATTGAAGCCCACTCTCTGCACAGCCCTCCTCCCTCTCTGCCCCTTTATGAACATTCTCTGGAACCGTCACTCTCAGAAATGGTTCCAGTCGGCCGTGGTTTGGACTGAGCCAGTGTGTGTGCCAGTGCGTGTGTTCGTGCCTGTGTGTGTGTGTGTGGGCCTGTGCGTGTGCCTGTGTGTGTGTGTTATAGTAAACAGGACCTGCTGTGACCACTGCGTGTGCTGAGGCCACCCCGTATCCCGTAGTAACAGTCGTGACGGCCGTGAGGACAGAGTGAGGACGGCAGCACTCTACATTTGATCAATGAGCTTTTACGCGTGACGGAACGTGACGGAACGTGACAGAACACGATAGGCTGCGTCTGTGTCCGCGCGGATGTGGACCTGAAGGAAACAGATGCTGTTGTCAAGGCGACCGCAGGAGTGATGCTGATGAGGAGAGGAGCAGAGCAGAACTAGCCTTAGCTGCTCATTCCAGCACACATCTGCACGGCTCAGATCAGCTCTGATCAGCTCTACACTGCTCTGCACTGCCAGCACACGTCTCTAACCAGCTCTACACATGACTCACAGCTCTACACAGCAGCTGTACACAGCTGTGCAGCAGAGATCCAGCTCCTTTTGTCTGGAGCTGCTCTCCTCCCTGTCATTAGGCACACGGCTGCAGCAGCACAGCGCGCAGAGGCTCACGGTCCACGGTCCTCTCATACAGCTGTGGCTGACCTGAACGTGCACCCGTCTCCGCGGAGCCCCCATTCCTCCATTTTACAGTCAGCAGCAGAGTACAGTGCAACTGTATACACACACATACCCTGCACGCACACACACGACCCCGCAGCTGGATGTCAGAGAGCCGCTCCTCAGCTCCTCCACTGCTGCCCCCCGTACACATGCACCGCCTCACGGCTCCGCTCCCGTACACCGTACACCGTACACACCGACACCTCTGTCTTTGTTCTGCCGCACGCACCTGCTCCTGGCGGACCTGTCGTACGTCCATGCTGTCCCGACCCCAGGCACCGAGTCTCCGAAGGCTGCCGCGGAGAAGAGCCTCTCCATGGGCAGGCAGGACTGAGGAGCAGGGCAGACTGCGGGGGACGGGTGGGGGTCTCCACCTCGTCTCAATATTTCTCCGTTTGACGAGCCGTGGTGCGCGCGCGTCTGTGTGCGTGAGAGAGAGAGAGCGAGAGGAGGGGGGGGGGGGGGGGGTGGGGTGTGTATCCACGCTATTGTCTCCCGGTGGCCGCCGTTACACGCTCTTTAAATCCAGCGCCTTCCGTCCCTCAGCAGGAGCATTGGCACATTCTGTTCAGGACGCCATTAGTGTGAAGAGATGCAGACACGCACGCACGCGCTTGCTCCGTGCGCGCTGCCAGGTGACGCGCTCGGCACATCCACGTTCACCGTCACCGCCAGTATGTGTGCGCGCGTGCGCGTGTGTGTGCGTCTCATATTATATGTGCGTGTGTCACATGTATGTGCAGGCGCGCGCACGTGTGTTCTCTCTCATATGTGCGCGTGTATCATGCGCCTGCACGTTTGCGCGCGTGTGTGAGGCAGACAGTAGCCCGGATGCCCTCCCTGACCACAGACCCTTGGCCCTGACCCTGGCTCCTGTCAGAGGTCACACATCACGTGACCACAGAAGAGAACAGCCCGCGTGCACAGACACTCTTTATTGACACACGTGGCAGTGACCAAACACACTCAAACATCATCATATAAATAGTCCAGCTTCGGCATACAGCCTCCAGGCGGCGCTGTCCTCTAGCTGTCCCCCTCTGCGCCTGCGGCCTGCTCCAGCTCTGAGGGCGCCCCCCTGTGGAGAGAGCAGGTGAGTGCAGGTTGTATAAGCACAATGAGACTGGAGCATCAGCGTCATGCAACAGAAGAGGCGGCTCTACTGAGAGCTCTGCCCTCCAACATCCAACTGCATCCTCTGTTTCTACACTTCATTAAAGGCTCCGTGTGTAGTGTGTGTAGGGTGTGTGTAGGGTGTGTGTAGGGTGTGTGTAGGGTGTGTAGAGAGTGTGTGTAGGGTGTGTGTAGGGTGTGTGTAGGGTGTGTGTAGGGTGTGTAGAGAGTGTGTGTAGGGTGTGTGTAGGGAGTGTGTGTAGAGTGTGTGTAGAGTGTGTGTAGAGTGTGTGTAGGGTGTGTGTAGGGTGTGTGTAGGGTGTGTAGAGAGTGTGTGTAGGGTGTGTGTAGGGAGTGTGTGTAGAGTGTGTGTAGGGTGTGTGTAGGGTGTGTGTAGGGTGTGTGTAGAGTGTGTGTAGAGTGTGTGTAGGGTGTGTGTAGAGTGTGTATAGAGTGTGTGTAGAGTGTGTGTAGAGTGTGTAGAGTGTGTGTAGAGTGTGTGTAGAGTGTGTATAGAGTGTGTGTAGGGTGTGTGTGGGTGTGTAGAGTGTGTGAAGGGTGTGTGTAGAGTGTGTGTAGAGTGTGTGTAGGGTGTGTGTAGGGTGTGTAGAGTGTGTGAAGGGTGTGTGTAGAGTGTGTGTAGAGTGTGTGTAGGGTATGTGTAGAGTGTGTGTAGGGTATGTGTAGGGTATGTGTAGAGTGTGTGTAGGGTATGTGTAGGGTATGTGTAGAGTGTGTGTAGAGAGTGTGTGTAGGGTGTGTGTAGTGTGTAAAGTGTGTAGGGTGTGTAGGGTGTGTGTAGTGTGTGTAGAGTGTCTGTAGGGTGTGTAGGGTGTGTAGGGTGTGTGTAGAGTGTGTGTAGTGTGTGAATAGAGTGTGTGTAGGGTGTGTGTGGAGTGTGTAGAGTGTGTAGAGTGTGTGTAGGGTGTGTGTAGAGTGTGTGTAGAGTGTGTGTAGAGTGTGTGTAGAGTGTGTAGAGAGTGTGTGTAGAGTGTGTGTCATTATTGAATCTACATCTGTCTGTTGTGTTTAGGTGAAACCAGGACACGTTCAGACTGAGCTTTAGGAACAGACCAACATCCTGCATTTCTCCAGAGTAACTGGCAACCCAAAAGACCCACATCTACAATGAAATCATCATTAAAGTAATGATCAGAAATGTAAATGTTTTAACAATAGTTATAATGATATTAAAATGAATAGTTAAAATGAAAAAAGTGTTGGTCTGGACTTTTATCTTTAGGGGAACAAAGATTTCATTATTATAACGTTTTTCTACACCAGAATGTTTTTGGAAATACAAATCTGGTCCGAAGGAAAGATGGAGGGTGAGGTCAGTGCGGCGTCTGCAGCGTGTGCAGTGCTGCCGCTGTATTGGACTGTTGTGACCATGAGGGAGCAGTGTCTGCAGACAGAGCTCTGAATTGCTGAACTGCTAAAAAACACTTTTATCTAAAGTAACAAAACCTGAGCTGTTAGACAAAGAAGAATTGTCAGAAACTCTCAGTCTCTTGATGTGCAAAGCCTAGAATCCTAGCCCAAATGTATTACTCAAAGGCATGAAACCATGAATCTTTCTGCTTCCACTTCACATTTTGTCTCCGACTTTGCAGTAGTCTTAGTTTATCTACTGATAATACTAAAATCAAACCGTCAGAGAAAATGTGGGTTTAAGGGTGAAGCGCCTGTGTGTCAGAATGTTCTGGAAACTGCTGCAAGTGTCTCTGAAACTGTTGTTTGTGTTTTACTATTTCTATTGTTCTTTCTGCCTGAGATGTTGCTGCAGCACAGTGTTCATGGTTTTACACTGGTCCAGACCAGAGCAGAGAGGATTCATGGTTTTACACTGGTCCAGACCAGAGCAGAGAGGATTCATGGTTTTACACTGGTCCAGACCAGAGCAGAGAGGATTCATGGTTCAAACCAAGTGGATCAGGAGAAAATCCACTGGAGGAATGCTAACTTTTTAATAAATACATTTTACTTTGGACCATAGCAGAGAAAATGGTCCGAACCAAGTGGCTCCACCTGCTGTGACCTGTCCTGCTCCACCCAGAGGCTACTCCACCTCTGCTGCTGTGACCTGTCCTGCTCCACCCAGAGGCTACTCCACCTCTGCTGCTGTGACCTGTCCTGCTCCACCCAGAGGCTACTCCACCTCTGCTGCTGTGACCTGAAGGACTGTTGCTGAATATTACTATTGTGAGCTTTTTAGAATGATCAATGTGTTTATTTGTGTGGATGGATGTGTTTCTGCTGCTACTGGACACCTGCATTTCCTCCTACGGGGATCAATGAAGTATCTATCCATGTATGTATCTATCTGGTCAGGGATGGAGTTCCTGAACCCGTGGAGCAGACTCACCCAGAGTAGGGGGGAGGGGGGGCGTCGTGCTGCCCGCTCCTGGTCAGAGCCTCGTTGTAGCTCGGTAAATCGGGCACCGCGCCCCCGGCCAGAGGCACCATCTCTGCCCCCGCTCGGCCGTCTCCCGCCATCCGCACCACAGCTCTGCTCAACACACAATTCAAAAGACTTAAAAACAGCAACTTTTGAGACGGAAAATACTTTGGTTTTCAGCAAGTTATTTGTATAGCACTGTTCATACAAGGCAACGGGAAGAGCCCAACAAAACAAGGCATTAATAAAAATAAAACAAGAGTAAAAATATATCCTTCAGTTGTAGCAGAAACATTGTCAGAGAAGAAACCTGTGCGGCCACACCCTGTGCTCCTCAGACTCCCGACAGGAGGCCAGTCCCTGTGCTCCTCAGTCCCGACAGGAGGCCAGTCCCTGTGCTCCTCAGTCCCGACAGGAGACCAGTCCCTGTGCTCCTCAGTCCCAGCAGGAGACCAGTCCCTGTGCTCCTCAGTCCCAGCAGGAGACCAGTCCCTGTGCTCCTCAGTCCCGACAGGAGGCCAGTCCCTGTGCTCCTCAGTCCCAGCAGGAGACCAGTCCCTGTGCTCCTCAGTCCCAGCAGGAGACCAGTCCCTGTGCTCCTCAGAGTCCCAGTGGGTTCATATGTCACAGATGTACTTTGGTGAGTCTATTCTCTGAGCCACAGATCCAGTCTGGGACTCAGGAGCAGTGTCCTAGAGGATCATGGGAGTTTGCCAAACCACATGTTCTTTGTGGATCTGGAGATTCATGAAATCTGTGAATCTGAATCTGACATAGACTTTATTTCCAGAATCCAGTTTATAAGAGTTTCAGGAAACACTTTTCTGTCTGTGTCCTCTGTCGTCCTCCTGCTGCAGGTGCTGCCTGCTCCAATGGAGCCATTATTCTGACTTTAGTGGTTCAGTTTCTGGGACCGTGGCACTGAGAAGGGAGGACATGTGCCTCTGTCCAGGTGAACACACCATTCTCTTATTTAACATGTCTTTTCACATATGTCACATTTCAACATTCGACTCGTGTCCAGATGAAAAGGTTCTGATTTATTATTTACATTTTCAAACAAAACCGTCTCGTGAGCACCACAGTTCCTCTGTCACCGTCTTCGGGGAAAGAGGTCATTTTCCTCCAGAACACAGTAAATGCAATAATAAGAAACACACAAGGAGCAGGAGGACCACTGTCCATAAAGTGGAGGCGGCGGTTTGGGAACCACAGGATTCTCTGATGTTGGATTTATCTAAAGTCTGTAAATCAGACATGTTCCAAGTCCGACCCACGACCTCCATCAGAGTGACCTGAGGCTGCTTCACACAGAACCGCTGAGATCCTGAGTGGGTTTACGTAAGAACATGATGGTTTGGATTCTCCCCCTTCTCTGATGTCCATGCCCCCCTCCACAGGGGCTGGCTTGCTCCTGGCTGACCCCCCCTGGACCAATCCAGGGGAAAGTGACCTCACAGCGAGCACAGAGCTGGGATGGACTAGGGCTCTTGGTCAATGCTACATGTACCGGGGCCTCAGGGGCCTCTCTCAGATATTTTCTGTCTGTCTGTGTGTATGGTGTAATTTTTCAGTGTCATTAAATATCCTTTTTTATATCTATTGGTTTGGACTCAGTATGTTCAGCAACGATCACATTTTCATGAAAACAATGTCTAAAAGTGTTACAAAATGGCACTCAGTTTGGTTCTCAAACAGGGGTGTTGTACCGTGTCGTACAAACATAAATAAAATATATGTCATAAAATTGCTTTCATAAATACGTTATAAGCGCACGGTCGGCAAATGTAATCACACAATGTTTACTCTTGGAATTTGATTTTCACACACGCTCAGCGGCTGCAGCAGCAATGACTTTCTGCCACGCTCCACAATCATGAAACAAAACAACAAAACACAAGCAGTGAAGGACTAATGGACTAAAGGACAAGTCGGGAACAATCTTCCTGAAAATGTGAGGCAGGCGTCCAACTCTGAAAAGAGCTGCTACAACTGAAGGATTTTATCTTTACTCTTTTATTCCATGTGTGATTTAGATATTTTAAGGTTTTTAAATACTTGTCATTTTATATTTTCGGTGCTTTAATATTTCTTGTGTTTTTAATGTTTGTTTTTAATCATATTTTTTATTTTTTTTATGTATTATATATTTAGATGTAGATTTGAACTTTTATGATTTATCCCTGACGTGATGTGTGCGCTCTACATGTGTGACAGACAGCTCTCATCCTAGGACCATGTGTGACAGACAGCTCTCATCCTAGGACCATGTGTGACAGACAGCTCTCATCCTAGGACCATGTGTGACAGGACAGCTCTCATCCTAGGACCATGTGTGACAGGACAGCTCTCATCCTAGGACCATGTGTGACGGGACAGCTCTCATCCTAGGACCATGTGTGACAGGACAGCTCTCATCCTAGGACCATGTGACGGGACAGCCATCATCCTAGGACCATGTGTGACAGGACAGCTCTCATCCTAGGACCATGTGTGACGGGACAGCTCTCATCCTAGGACCATGTGTGATGGGACAGCTCTCATCCTAGGACCATGTGTGACGGGACAGCTCTCATCCTAGGACCATGTGTGACGGGACAGCTCTCATCCTAGGACCATGTGTGACGGGACAGCTCTCATCCTAGGACCATGTGTGACGGGACAGCTCTCATCCTAGGACCATGTGTGACGGGACAGCTCTCATCATCCTAGGACCATGTGTGACGGGACAGCTCTCATCCTAGGACCATGTGTGACGGGACAGCTCTCATCCTAGGACCATGTGTGATGGGACAGCTCTCATCCTAGGACCATGTGTGACGGGACAGCTCGCATCCTAGGACCATGTGTGACGGGACAGCGGTCTCCTATCCATAGGACCATGTGTGACGGGACAGCGGTCTCATCCTAGGACCATGTGTGACGGGACAGCGGTCTCATCCTAGGACCATGTGGTGACGGGACAGCGGTCTCATCCTAGGACCATGTGTGACGGGACAGCGGTCTCATCCTAGGACCATGTGTGACGGGACAGCGGTCTCATCCTAGGACCATGTGTGACGGGACAGCTCTCATCCTAGGACCATGTGTGACGGGACAGCTCTCATCCTAGGACCATGTGTGACGGGACAGCTCTCATCCTAGGACCATGTGTGACAGGACAGCTCTCATCCTAGGACCATGTGTGACAGGACAGCTCTCATCCTAGGACCATGTGTGACAGGACAGCTCTCTCATCCTAGGACCATGTGTGGCGGGACAGCTCTCTCCTCCTAGGACCATGTGTGGCAGGACAGCGGTCTCATCCTAGGACCATGTGTGGCAGGACAGCGGTCTCATCCTAGGACCATGTGTGGTAGGACAGCGGTCTCATCCTAGGACCATGTGTGGCGGGACAGCGGTCACATCCTAGGACCATGTGTGGCAGGACAGCGGTCTCCTCCTAGGATTATGTGTCACGGGACAGCGGTCTCATCCTAGAACCATGTGTAGCAGGATAGCGGTCTCTTACTGGTGCGGTCTGGACTTGTGGCGGGCCTTGTAGCAGTAGACGCCCAGGACTGCAGCAAAGACCGCGCACACGACCAGAGCCAGGATCCCCGCCACCAGCCCCGACACGTCCACTTTAGGGGCGTATCCTGCACAGACAAAAGACAAACTCATTCTCCAAGTCTGAGGTTAAAAATAAATAAAAATAAATAAACAAACAAACAAAAAGTTTTAGATCAGTTCTTGCTCGTGTATTCTTCATTGAGTGACTGCATACTGTACTTGTACTTATATACTTATGGGGTAATAGTGTTTGACATAATAGAAAAATCTAAAATCAAAGGATTGATCCACAGGTGTCCTTCAGCCTTCAGCCACATGGGGGCGACACTGAGGTACTACAGCTCACCACCGCTGCACAGACAGTGTGTCATTCTGTTTTATTTTTAATGATAAAAATACTATAGACACAAACATGCACACATATAAGACACACAAACATGAATAGACACACAAACACACAAACACACACACGGTGTCCAAGGATACAACAACAGTCTGCCTTGTTTCAAAAAGAGGACGTCGTACCTTGTGAGTATTCCTTCCAGAACACGTCCTAAAAGAAAAAAAACAATCATATGAATCACTCATATGGATTTATCGTGTGTGTGTGTGTGCATATGTGTATTTTTTATATATGTATGTATGCATGAATGTGTAGCCCTGTGTAATATTATTACATGCCATAATAGTTGCACCCCATAGTTTTATTTTATAACCACCGTTTTATTGTAGATAATTTTGAAATGCAATGCTTGGTTCCGCCAGCAGAGGGCGCTTGGTGCTTTCACTAGTGGTTGCTGCCGAGGCAACGCTAGAAGTAGTTAGTACTTAACGTGATGAGACTGCACCGAGTGAGCTCCTGCATTCAATGTCTGTTTTACGTGTTTTGCAGAGCCTGAATTAAATTTAAATGTGCTGCACATGAATGAGTTGGCCCATCATTCAAAAAAGTGTAACATATGTGTTTATGTATGTGTGTATATGTGTATGTATGTACAGTGGGGCGAAAAAGTATTTAGTCAGCCACTGATTGTGTAAGTTCTCCCACTTAAAATAATGACAGAGGTCTGTAATTTTTATCATAGGTACACTTCAACTGTGAGAGACAGAATGTGAAAAAAAAATCTAGGAATTCACATTGTAGGATTTTTAAAGAATGTATTTGTAAATTATGGTGGAAAATAAGTATTTGGTCAATAACAAAAATTCAACTCAATACTTTGTAATATAACCTTTGTTGGCAATAACAGAGGTCAAACAATTACTATAGAGGTTTACCAGGTTTGAACACACAGTAGCTGGTATTTTGGCCCATTCCTCCATGCAGATCTTCGAGAGCAGTGATGTTTTGGGCGGTCGCCGAGCAACACGGACTTTCAACTCCCTCCACAGATTTTCAATGGGGTTGAGGTCTGGAGACTGGACTCCTGGAGACCAGGACTTTCAAATGCTTCTTACGGAGCCACTCCTTCGTTGCCCGGGCGGTGTGTTTGGGATCATTGTCATGCTGGAAGACCCAGCCACGTTTCATCTTCAAAGCTCTCACTGATGGAAGGAGGTTTTGGCTCAAAATGTCACGATACATGGCCCCATTCATTCTTTCCTTAACACGGATCAGTCGTCCTGTCTCCTTAGCAGAAAAACAGCCCCAAAGCATGAAGTTTCCACCCCCATGCTTCACAGTAGGTATGGTGTTCTTGGGATGCAACTCAGTATTCTTCTTCCTCCAAACACGACGAGTTGAGTTTATACCAAACAGTAGGGCTGGGATAAACTATTATTTTCTAACCGATTCATCTAGCGATTATTTTTTTGATGCATCGATTAATCTAACAATAATTTTTTTCAGTTCGATTCACTACCCATTAATTGACTAATACCAATGTATACATTGGGTGTTGTGTGTTGATTTACATATCTGAATGAAAAAACATGAATTCCTTATATGTATTGCTCTTAAATTTCCAAAATAAGACATTCAGTCAAAGGTAGCCTAAAACCTTGAAAACACATCTAGCTTACTGAAAAAAGTGCATCTTTTTTATTCTTCTTTCAGATGAAAATAACACTTGATGTTTAGCATTCAATAAAAAATAAAATAAAAAAGTTCACCCAAAATACTTGTTTAGAGTAACTGAAAGAATACAGTAACCAATGTAAACTTGAGGGCTTTAAGCTAAAGAGAGAAGGCTTTTCTTGCAAAAAAATGAAAAACAAACATTTAGAGCTTACTGAAAAAAATCATCTTCATTCACAAATAACAACTTAGACTCTGACACTTTCCTTTCCCCTTAAGAATACTGTGTGTGTGCTTGTGAACATTTGCCTCCAGCCCGTGTTGTCATTCTCCTGTGACTAAACTAGTACGGCTAGCATGTTGGCCGATGCGGAAGTACTGTCTAATAATTAAATAAACTGATTGTGCACCTCCGTGAACACATAGAGCTGTTATATAAAGTCTCTGGAAAGTTTCTGGACACAGGGCAGCTGCAAACTGCAGTATTAGAGAAGAACTTTAGACAAGAAGCCGCTAGCTAAACGCCACTAGCCCAGGACCACTGGTCTGAACAAGTCTATTGCGCGGTCTGGACGCCCCATAAGACGGCACTCGCGTACTACTACTACTACTACTACTGCTACTACTACTACTACTACTACCATCTTTGTTTTGAGTACGACAAATCGACGCGCATATTTTGTATCGACGTATTTTTTGCCTCGACGTCACCGATTACGTCGGTGCGTTGTCCCAGCCCTACAAACAGTTGTACTTTGGTTTCATCTGACCACATGACATTCTCCCAATCCTCTGCTGTATCATCCATGTGCTCTCTGGCAAACTTCAGACGGGCCTGGACATGCACTGGCTTCAGCAGGGGGACACGTCTGGCACTGCAGGATTTGATTCCCTGTCGTCGTAGTGTGTTACTGATGGTAACCTTTGTTACTTTGGTCCCAGCTCTCTGCAGGTCATTCACCAGGTCCCCCCGTGTGGTTCTGGGATTTTTGATCACCGTTCTCATGATCATTTTGACCCCACGGGATGAGATCTTTTTCCACATTCTGTCTCTCACAGTTGAAGTGTACCTATGATGAAAATTACAGACCTCTCATTATTTTAAGTGGGAGAACTTGCACAATCGGTGGCTGACTAAATACTTTTTTGCCCCACTGTATGTATGTGTGTATGTACTGTACACATGTGCGTTACCGTGGAGACTGAGTCTTCAAAGTACTCTCGCGCCTCTTCGTAGCTGCAGATTTCCTCGTAACATTCTCGCTCCAGATTGTCCTTCGTCACGATCTCGAAGTCCCAGCTGTTGTAGAGCAGAGAGCGGGACAGGAACGAGTGCGCCTCCTGCTGGCCCCGCCTTAGCTTGTCTGCGGACACACAACACAAGAACATACAACTTTGTGTATCCACGTTTCCCTGAAGATCACGTCCGACACACAATGTTTTAGTTCTACCTCGTCAGAACGTTTCATATTTCCCTAAATCAGATGAAGTCAGGACACGAGGCCCGCATCAGGAGTGAAGGTGGGAAAAGTGAGGATTCAATGATATTGTGATATTTAGGCACAACTCATTATTATCGCAATCCTTAACTTATTGTGATACAGCAAGTTTTGTGATTTGATTCTGAGATATGTGGAACTCAAAATGTCAGATTAATGATGGTCTGTACATGAAATACTGAGGAGGGAAGTGTAAAAACATCTTAAACTATTCAAACACAACAGACCAGAGTCAACAAAAGCAGACATCGAAGAGAAACTCATCAGAAACATGAACGTAAACAGATTAGACCAAACAGATCATTTCCATCTGTAATCCCAGGAGTTTAGGGCCACAAGGATTAAATGTCCAAAACTACAGCACAAGTCCTGACTGGAACCAGGAAGTACCATCACATCAGTCCTGACCGGAACCAGGAAGTACCCATCACTCCCGGATTCGTCCGGAAGTTCAGTTTGATCCAATGAGCAAACGCAGCAGATTACGTCACGGAATCTGGACGGAAGCGGAAGTAAATATAAAAACTACCTATTCATGCCTAAACTTAACCAGCTGTTCCCATAAAATAACCCCAACCCAGCCTTAACCCTAACCTTAACCATCTTACTCAGACCACCTTAACCATCTTAATCAGACCACCTTAACCATCTTAATCAGACCACCTTAACCATCTTACTCAGACCACCTTAACCATCTTAATCAGACCACCTTAACCATCTTAATCAGACCACCTTAACCATCTTACTCAGACCACCTTAACCATCTTCCTCAGACCACCTTAACCATCTTACTCAGACCACCTTAACCATCTTACTCAGACCACCTTAACCATCTTACTCAGACCACCTTAACCATCTTCCTCAGACCACCTTAACCATCTTACTCAGACCACCTTAACCATCTTACTCAGACCACCTTAACCATCTTCCTCAGACCACCTTAACCATCTTACTCAGACCACCTTAACCATCTTCCTCAGACCACCTTAACCATCTTACTCAGACCACCTTAACCATCTTACTCAGACCACCTTAACCATCTTACTTAGACACCTAAAACAGTCACCACTTAAGGACTTAATACACTTTTTGACATGAGCAAACATAACTTCCGGACAAATCCGGTTTCCAGGACGAATACGGGAGTGACAGTACCATCACATCAGTCCTGACTAGAACCAGGACCAGGCCTCCTGCTGGTGCTCTGAGGAGCACAGGGACTGGCCTCCTGCTGGTGCTCTGAGGAGCACAGGGACTGGCCTCCTGCTGGTGCTCTGAGGAGCACAGGGACTGGCCTCCTGCTGGTGCTCTGAGGAGCACAGGGACTGGCCTCCTGCTGGTGCTCTGAGGAGCACAGGGACTGGCCTCCTGCTGGTGCTCTGAGGAGCACAGGGACTGGTCTCCTGCTGGGACTGAGGAGCACAGGGACTGGCCTCCTGCTGGGGCTCTGAGGAGCACAGGGACTGGCCTCCTGCTGGGGCTCTGAGGAGCACAGGGACTGGCCTCCTGCTGGGGCTCTGAGGAGCACAGGGACTGGCCTCCTGCTGGTGCTCAGAGTCAGAACTATAAAGCAATTTCGGAGAAAACACTAAAGATAATTTAATTAAATATTGCAATACTTATATTCACTGTATCAGTTTAATCACATGCACAAATTATCACGATACTGAACAGAACCGATTTTTCCCTGGTTCACTGTGTCTCAGGACCACAGTGAGTCCGGGCTGCCTCAGGACCCACACTGAGTCCGGGCTGCCTCAGGACCCACACTGAGTCCGGGCTGCCTCAGGACCCACACTGAGTCCGGGCTGCCTCAGGACCCACACTGAGTCCGGGCTGCCTCAGGACCCACACTGAGTCCGGGCTGCCTCAGGACCCACACTGAGTCCGGGCTGCCTCAGGACCCACACTGAGTCCGGGCTGCCTCAGGACCCACACTGAGTCCGGGCTGCCTCAGGACCCACACTGAGTCCGGGCTGCCTCAGGACCCACACTGAGTCCGGGCTGCCTCAGGACCCACACTGAGTCCGGGCTGCCTCAGGACCCACACTGAGTCCGGGCTGCCTCAGGACCCACACTGAGTCCGGGCTGCCTCAGGACCCACACTGAGTCCGGGCTGCCTCAGGACCCACACTGAGTCCGGGCTGCCTCAGGACCCACACTGAGTCCGGGCTGCCTCAGGACCCACACTGAGTCCGGGCTGCCTCAGGACCCACACTGAGTCCGGGCTGCCTCAGGACCCACACTGAGTCCGGGCTGCCTCAGGACCCACACTGAGTCCGGGCTGCCTCAGGACCCACACTGAGTCCGGGCTGCCTCAGGACCCACACTGAGTCCGGGCTGCCTCAGGACCCACACTGAGTCCGGGCTGCCTCAGGACCCACACTGAGTCCGGGCTGCCTCAGGACCCACACTGAGTCCGGGCTGCCTCAGGACCACAGTGAGTCCGGGCTGCCTCAGGACCCACAGTGAGTCCGGGCTGCCTCAGGACCACAGTGAGTCCGGGCTGCCTCAGGACCCACAGTGAGTCCGGGCTGCCTCAGGACCCACAGTGAGTCCGGGCTGCCTCAGGACCACAGTGAGTCCGGGCTGCCTCAGGACCCACAGTGAGTCCGGGCTGCCTCAGGAACAAATGAACCAAAACAAAAACGTCATCAGTGGAATCCTGACAAGCATGACCTTGGAGTTTCAGTTTGAGTGTGTGTATCTGCCTGTGTGTGTGTGTGTGTGTGCATCTGCCTGTGTGAGTATCTGCCTGTGTGTGTGTGTATTCGAGTGTGTGTTAATGTGCGTTTGTTTGTGGTGTGTTTATGTGTGTGTGTCCAGCCGAGAGATGTCAGAAGAATTCTTCCTGATGAAGTGAAACTAAAGTAACACAAACATGAATGCTTTTCAGGTCAGTCAGTCTCTTCACATGATTATTCATTTAAATCCATACACGTGGTGATAAACTACTACTGTGGTCACAGCTGCCCTGGGGCACACTGCCACTAGAGTAGATAGTCCGAGCGTAGATAGTCCGAGCGTAGATAGTCCGAGCGTAGATAGTCCGAGAGTAGACAGTCCGAGCGTAGACAGTCCGAGAGTAGACAGTCCGAGCGTAGATAGTCCGAGCGTAGATAGTCCGAGAGTAGACAGTCCGAGCGTAGATAGTCCGAGCGTAGATAGTCCGAGCGTAGATAGTCCGAGCGTAGATAGTCCGAGGCGGTCCCGCAGGTCTCTCCCATAGCCCAGTCTCTCCAGAGGATACGATGGAAGCTAGCTCTGTTCAGGGCTTGGTTTCTTCTTTGATCATGTTTTGGCTTTAGTTCCCTCTTCTCTTCCTCACTGTTGTGTGGTTTGGGCTGTTTTGCTGTGTCTGCAGTTACAGCCAGAGGAGTTATAGCCACTTATGCTAACATGCTACTGTGTTTAGCAGCGCTGTAGAGGCTAGAGGACCTCTGGGAACAGCAGGTGCCACAGTGGGGCGGCTGCGGCTGTAAAGTGCTAAACTGCTGTTGTGTCCTTAGGCAAGACACTTCCCCCACATTAGAATGAGTCTGGTGTGTGTGTGGATGGTTGGTGGTGGTGGGAGGGGCCGATGGCACAGACTGGTTGCCTGCTTCTGTCAGTGTGCCCCAGGGCAGCTGCGGCTACAGTAGAAGTTAATCATCACCGTGTTTGGAGCGTGTGATGAGCGTCTTTGAGAGTTCAGAAAAGCGCTGCATGAAACTGATTTATTATTATTATTACTATTCCATACATTGTAGTAAATGAGAACGAGAGAGGCTGTAGATATGTTTTTAACTTCGTATTTGATTTGTTTTTAAATATACTTTAAATGTGAGTCACCTTGAGTGTCGAGAAAGCCTCGCATTAACCCTATGAAATAAAATGTTGTCTGTCTGTCTGTCTGTCTGTCTGTCTGTCTGTCTGTCTGTCTGTCTGTCTGTCTGTCTGTCTGTCTGTCTGTCTGTCTCTCTGTCTGTCTGTCTCTCTGTCTGTCTGTCTGTCTCTCTGTCTGTCTGTCTGTCTGTCCGTCTGTCTGTCCTGGTGGTGGAAGCTTCAGGCCGGTTCTTCTCTGGTGGAAAAGTCAGTCTCTGTTAAGTCCATTATGAACAGAACGTAAAGCTCCAGATAAAATCCCCAATGGATTCTTAAACCTGAAAGTGAGCAGTCAGCACAACAAGAGAGAGAGACCAGAGAGAAAGAGAGAGAGAGAGACCAGAGAGAGAGAAACGTCTGTATATGATTCTATAAAAAGGCATATTTACATTCTCTCTGACCATCACTTCCTTCTTCTCTCTTCCAGATCAGATTACAGTCCTCTGTCTTCAACCAGCAGTAAGTACTTTAACACTCACCACAACACGAGAGAGACCAGCCAGAGAGCAGAGGGAGCAGGGAGAGAGCAGAGAGAGAGAGAGCAGAGAGAGAGCAGAGGGAGAGCAGAGGGAGAGCAGAGGGAGCAGAGAGAGGGAGCAGAGAGAGAGAGCAGAGAGAGAGAGAGCAGAGAGAGAGAGAGAGCAGGGAGAGAGAGCAGAGAGAGAGAGAGCAGAGAGAGAGACCAGAAATCCAGGACTGAGATCAATAAGAAGTTTACAGTCTTTTCAAAAACCCATTTTGATGTAATTCCTATAGTTCCTGATCATGTGACTCTTCGGGAAAGCGACCAATCACAGCGCTCAGAGTTTTCCGAGTCTAACCGTGTCAGTGTTTTGTTCTGACGAAGCCGACTGCAACTTTCCTGGAGTCGGTTCATTGCGTAGTTTTGCCAAATAATAAGTTTGATGTGATTTTCCGCATGTGTGAAACAGCTGTTTACAGTGTGACGAGCTCAGGGAGTGTCAGGGGCGGGGCTTCATGTCAGGGGGCGGGGCTTCGGTCTGTAGTTTAGAATCTCTGTATTAA